ATTTTTAGTTTTCTGCCTCTATGTCTCTCCCTGTCTCCCTGGCGGGTGCACGCACCCAATAGCGAAAACCTCTCCAAAAAAAAAAAATTTTTTTTTCATGTGAAAAAAAAGTCCTTGTTTAGTGAGTGCAATAACAATAATTCTTAACCTATTGCATAAAAAAAAAAAACATTATGTAGAGATGGTTTGTTATTTATCTACTTTTATTACAAGTCCAAACGAAAAATAGCGTTTGCTTGTTTCTCTTAGAAAAGGATCCCACAATTGTTTGTGTCCTCAGTTGTTCCACAGCACATGGCAGGCACGTTGTCCACCCCCTAATCCTAAAGAGGAACATTTAGTGTCTGTGAATCCCAGCTGTCCTGTAATGCACAACTGTAGATAGCAAGCTTCTGACCCAGGCAGATGACAGCACAGGCAGATCTGGGGGACAGGGCTGGGAGGATTTGCAGCTGTCGTGGCTGGGGACCGCCAGATGGTTCCAACAACACCAGTCTCTGTGAGAGTCTCACTGAAAAACTGGAGTTCATGAACTGTGCTGTGAACATCAAGCAAAGTAAACAGATGGCCAGCTGGCTTTCAGAATTGCTCAGACCCAAGCTCTGACCCTTTCAATTGATCTAGATCTATCTCTGCATGTATATGCAGAAGTGAATGCACTTTATTTTTATTTACTTTTTTTTAATTTTTTTTTTTTTTGCCATATGTTTGAGAGGTTTTAGCTATAGGGCACATGCTCTCACCAGAAAGACAGAGAGACAGACAACAAGAAATCACCCCCCAGGGGGGATGGTCACGCCGCAGTCCCCTCTCGTCCATTCTCCTCTCAGGATCTTGGGCACGCACGCACATGCACACGTACCCGGTATGAGTTTAAGCCACTGGGTCCAGGACTCAAACCACAGTTGACTACATTGGAGTCCAGCAACGTAGCCATTACACCATCTGCTGGTCCCATCCTGGTGTGATTTTTCAAGCTGCCAGGTCTAGAACTTGAACCATGGCTGGCCATGTGGTAATCCAGCACCCTAACCACACACTACCTGCTGATCCCGTGAATGCACTTTTTAAATGTTAGGAAAACTAAACAATAATCAGGATAGTGGCTACCTCTGATGAGGGGCTGAGGAAGGAGGAAGTGAAGGGGAGGGCTGACTTTAGAATTCATATTTCAGTCTATATAAAATATATTTATACAAGGATGGCCCCATGGCCTGCGGCTGAGGGATCTGACTCCTACATGGCCGTGACATCTGAAAAACATGCCAGGCACTTGTGGATGCATGCCCAAGATCCCTACTGGGAGGAGAAATGGACAAGAAGGCATTGTAGCATGATCATACCCCATAGTGGGGTGCTTTCTTTGTCTCTGGTGAGTGCACACATCCTCTGGCAAAATAAAAGTGTATTCCTATATATTTGTGTGACCAAAATAATTTAAAGCAACTATATGGGCCAGCCGCTGGCATGGTAGTTGGGACAGCTGAAGCTGACATGGCTGACTGTGCAGTTTGAGACCCAGACCTGGTGGCCAAGAGTAGACTGGAGGGGGGATTGCAGCACGGTCATCCCCCTTGGGGGGTGATTTCTAACCTTTCCTCTCTCTCTCTCTCTGTCTCTCCCTGGTGAGTGCCTATGCTCTATTTTGCTATAGCAAAATAATAAAACATTATGTTCATGAGATTCACTCCCACTGCCTTCATGCTAGAGTCCAAGATGTGCAGACCAGAGAAGGTCTGGTGCTCCATTCACTGCTTTGTGGGACCAATGCGCTCTAGCTATCCCAACTGCTCAAAGGGCCGCCAACACCCTCTGATGTCTCAGGCCTCTAAGCTTTTATATAAGCTCTTCCCTCCACATAAGATTATTTCCTCACAGGGACAGCAGCTGGTTAAGGTGCTAGACTTCCACATGGCTGTCTGTGGTTCTAGTCTCAGACCTAGTGGCTTGCTTTCTCATTTTGTCTCACTGTCTCTCTCTGGTTGAGCACACATGCCCTACAGCAAGTTTAAGAAAAATGATAATAAGTACAATTTAAAAAATTCTTAAAAAAAATCATGAGACAGCAGGTGGCACGGTGGTTAAGGTGCTGGATTCCCACATGGCTGACCACAGTTTGAGTTCTAGACCCTACAGCTTGAAAAATCACACCAGGCACATGTGTATGCATCCCTAAAACCCTGGCAACAGAACAGAAAAGGGATTACAGCATGGCCATCCCCTGGGGGGGGGCAATTTTTCATTTTCACTCTTTCTGTCTCTCTACAGGAAGCGCACATGCCCTATGGCAAAAAACTAAAAAAAGTAAATAAATAAAAAAAGTATCAGAGTAACTCCTCCACTGGACCCGTAGAGTCAATACCCGTATTTTACCCCCAGAAACCACAGATCTGTACAAAAGAGAAACAAAACATTTTGTTTTTGAGACTAAAACCAATTCTTTGAATACCATCCTTTTAAAGCACCCCAGGGAACAGCTGACCTTAATGTCACATCGCAGCCATGCTGAGGCCCAAGGCTGACACCGGAACTGCTGCTCTCAGCGCCAGGCCAAGCCTGTGCCAACTCACACTGCACTGGACTGCAGGGATCAGACGTGGAGCAAGAATTGTGGAACCAAAGATGCCGACCTGGCTATTCCAGAGCTTGCTACGTGAAAGTGTTAACAAATGGAAGTTATACAGTCATTTGTAATTAATAATGTATTAGTTGTTATCTGGGAATTTAGAAATTCTATCCTTGGGCAAGATACTTTCTCTCTCTAGATCTCATTCTTCTGTGTAAAATAAATCCAAGTTTGGATGACATAATCTCTAAGTTTTTTCCAATTCTAAGATTTTAGAATCTATACATTTATGAGATATGATATTAAAGAATTCTTTTTCTAAGCTTTGCTAGAGGGTGCATGTGCTCACTGAAGGTGGGGGCAGTGAGAGCATCTCCCATAGACGGTCACTCCACCACCTCTCCTCCATTTCTCCATCTGGGATTTTAGGCACACATGTACAAACACCCAGCGTATTGTTCAAGCAGGCAGTCTGGAACCACACGGGTGGCCATGTGGGATCCAGCTATGTCCCCAGCTGGCTCTGTATTAAAGAACCTTTTCAGCAGCCTTTCCTCAAAGCTGCTCTTCTCTGATAATACTTACTTTCTCACTTTTATCGAACTTAAGAGATGCTTACAGTCAAAAATACCTATTGAATGGACCAGAGAGAGGAAGAGGACAAAGAAGACAGGTATTTTCGACATGGTCTCACTACACTGCAATCCTCCTGTCTCAGCCTCCTAATTAGCTCAGATTACAGACCTGTGCAGCCATGCCTGCTGTGATCAGGTTGGGCTGAGAACTGAACCTGGGCTCCAGTGCAGCTTCCAGCATCCTAAGTGGTGGTATTACCTATGTAGCACCATGGCTACACCAAAAAATCCCATGAGAATGGAGAAGGGATTGTGGTATGCCCATACCCTGCAGGGGGGGTGATTTTTCTCTCTCCAGCAAGCACATGCACCCTACAGCAAAGACTAAAAACATGAAAATAAAAACAAAGTGGGCCACCAGGTAGAGTGGAGGTGAAGGCAGATGGATGGCACATGGCCATTTTTTATTTAAACTTTATTTATCTATTTTAATTTGATTGGAGAGGGACAGAGTGTGTGTGTATGAGAGAGAGAGGGGAGAGTGAGAAAATAAGCCACCAGGTCCAGGACTTGAATCGTGGTCAGCCATGTGGGACTCCAGCGCCCTTAACCACCACGCCACCTGCTGGCCCCATGGCCAATTTGTGGTTTGAATCCCAGACCTGGCAGCTTGAAAACATGCCAAGTATGTGTACATGTGTGCCCAAAACCCCAATAGAAGGGACTGTGGAATGGGCATCCCCACGGGGATGATTTCTCACTTTCCCCTTCTCTCTGGCGAGTGCACGTACCCTATAGCAAAAACCAAAACCAAACCGAAAAACAAAAACGAAAAGAGCACCCATGCTCCCATCACCCAGCAGAAGGACCCCATTACTATCCCTCTGTAAGGCAGTGTTGTTTTATGCCTCTGTGCCTCTGACATGCTGAAATGCCCTTCCAGGCCTTTGTCTCCATGGTGAATGCATCCTTTGGAACTTCAGATTCAGCTGACCTCCTTTGGAAGCTTTCACTGACTCCCTTGAGAGACCTTCATGCTTCCATTATATCTCCTTTATGGTATTAATAACTGTACTATATTTACCTATGTTTGATTCCCCAGTAGATTGAAGGTGCTAAATATCACTGAATCTCTGTATCTCTAAGCAACTACCAGGAAGGATAGCTATGTAGCAAGTATGCAGTAAACAGGACGCCCACGCAACCCAGCATGCCTGGGAGAGTCCTGCTTTATGCCTGTTGTCCTTGAGTAATTATAGAAAAGGAATCCTTTAACTCATGAAAGTGTTCTATCAGGTCAGTTGGTGACATGATGGGTAAGGCAGCTGGATCCCACCTGGCTGACTGTGTGGTTCAAGTCCTAGACCCATTGACTTGAAAAGGAAAACAAAAAACACATGAGGTCCGTGTGTGTGTGAATGCCTAAAATCTTGCAAAGGAAGAATGGATGAGAAGGAATGGTAGTGTGGCCATCCCCCAGAGGGGGTGCTTTCTCACTTTCCCTTTCTCTCTCTCTCCAGTGAGTGAACGTGCCCTCTAGCAAATTAAAAAAAAAAAGTGTTCTTAGATGACCAACTACATGATCACCCTACCCATAAATGTTGTTGTATAAACTGATGAAGAATGAAGAAAAAAAATTTTTAAAGAATTATTTTATTTAACTTTATTATTACTATCATTATTATTTTCCAGTTTGATCAGAGGGAGACAGAGAGAGAGAGGAAGTGAGAAAGCAAGCCACCAGGTCCGAGACTCGAACCGTGATCGGCCATGTGGGAGTCTAGCACCCTCAACCACCATGCCACCGGCGGAGATAAAAAGAGACAGAAACCACTCCCCCCAGCAAGGTGTGGTCATGTTGCAGTCCCTTTCCCTCCGTTTGTCTACCCATCAGGATTTCAACATGCACTTGCATATGCCCAGTGTTATTTTCAAACCGCCAGAGCAAGGATTCAAACCATGTTGGCCACGTGGGATCCAACTCCCAATGCACAGTGCTTAAACACCCAACAGAAAAAAAGTTAAGGGACAGAATCTAGGCAGAAAAAGCTGACATTTAAACATTGTTAAACAAGGCTCTGGCAGTGCGGTTTTCTCTTCAGACTCGGTCTTGGTTGCCTTTTGTGAGCCATGGAGAATGATTTTTATCTGTTACTATGTGGACACGAGGGCAGGTTTGACCACAAATTCTTGGGAGTTTGAGTTAGACCTGATGAGAAATTTGAGATATGCAAAACACAGTAATTACAAAAATGATGTCATGATCAGAAAAGAGGCTTATGTACTTAAGAGTGCGATGGAAAGGTGCCAGCAGGTGGCATGGTGGTTAAGAACTCTCATGGACTCCCACGTGGTCAACTACAGTTCCAGCCCCAGAACTGGTGGCTTGAAAATCATGCCAGGAACATGTGTGTGCATGCCCGAAATCCCTAGAGGAGACTGGAGAAGGGATTACAGTGTAGCCATCCTCCCTGAAGGTCACTTTCCTCCCTACTGTCTTTCTCTCTCTTCGGTGAACTCATGCGTCCTATGGCAAAAACCTTTAAAAAGAATTAAAAGTGTGACAAAGAACTAAAGAAAATAATTGATGACAGTGAAATTACCAAAGATGACGATTTGTGGCCTCCTCCTGACCAAGTGGACTGGCAGGAACTTGAAACTATCATTGCAGACGAACATTTTTCTTTCACAATATCAGACATCAGTTCCCTTATTATATCCATCAGTCCAAAGACCCAGAAGGCTTAAGAGTATTTTATTACCTTGCCCAGCACCTGAAGTGTTTGGTCTTCAGTCTACTGGGTCACACTTCAAGATGAAACCAATCTGGGGCCAGCATGTAGTGTGTTGGTTAAGGGCGCTGGATTCCCACATGGCCGACTGCGGTTCAAGTCCCAGACCTAGCTTTCTCTCTCGCTCTCTCTCCCTCTGTTCCTCGCTGTTCAAACTAATATAAATAAATAAAATAAAATTCAATAAAATAATTCTAAAAAAACAACAAAAAAAAGATTAAACCAATCTAGACTGAATGTTGGTGCGGACCTGAGGGGGGGATAGGGATAGTTAATTATTATGAGGAAATTTGTGTGTATATCAGGGTAATATTTTTTATAAACTATAAATAATCATCTTTAATAAATACATGATAAAATAAAAATTAAAACAAAGATTCTCAAATGAAAATTCAACAGCTGGTCACTGTACCTTCTTGTCCAGAAGTGCTTGACTCTCTGGGGCTTGCACAGATCAAATGCTCAATAGCCTTTATTGCACAGATAAGTTTAACATGTTACCACTTCAAGAAGACCTAGATGTAAAATGTGAATTTATAGTACAAATCAATGAGGCAGAGATTATGAAATATTATCTATCTTTACTACTTGATGAGATTTCATAGAAATTTAAAGGGCTGACTTCACTACTTACTGAAAGTCAGTAATGCAAATTAAATATTCTTAAAATGATAACACAGTCAATGGGGCCATAGGATACGAAAATTCAACAGACGCACTGTTTTCACAAGAAATTCTCTTTGATATACACTATATATAGCTACCAGTTAGTTGTCCATGCTTTTAAGAAAACATAGAATCTCCATGAGTTTGATGTAACAAACATAAACTTTATTCGAACTGCTTTTTCTTTGTTATTCATGTAGAAAAAGCTGTTTTAACTACTTTTACACAAAAAGTGGACAATGAGGTGATCTGCCTTTTTGACAATTATCTTCCTGCAACCATGTCATCTCCTTTGGAAGTCAAAGTGACTCCTTGTTAAATAAGTCTTTTAATAAATTACAAATAGGTCCTTGTCCATCTTCTTCCTAATCATTTAATACACTGTTGCACAGCAACCATTTTTTCCCCCAGCTTCTTCTTTGTTGGAAGTCTGAGAGTCTGAAATTTGCATTGGCTTGGTTGAACCTGGAAATCATTCTGGTACCAGGGGTGCAAGTATCCATTGTAGAAATCAGTAGCTGTGAGCGTTTTCTTAAGCATCACTGATTGAACACCAATCCAGTCATCCTATAGGGTAAAAGACAATCAGTGGGCAGGCAGTGGCTGCAAAACTGGAAGTACACTTTAATTTATACATTTTTGAAAACAAACCAAAAAACCTTCACTAAATGCCCAGCTGCAAACAGTGCTATACCAAGTAAAAGTCTATTACCGGCTGGCCCTACAGGCTAGTGGGTAATGGCTACAGATCCCACATGGCCAGTACAGTCTGAGTCTAGTCCTGAGGGCTCAAAAGATACCCTGGTGCATCTGTGTGTGTGCCTAAGGTCCTGACAAGTCAGAGAAATGGAGACGGGATTGTGCTGTGACATAGCCCACCGGGGGGTGCTTTCTCCCTCTCTTTTTCTCTCTGTCTCACTCTGGGAATACACATACACTCTAGCAATTAAAAGCAACAACAAGAAGAAATAAAAGTTTATTACCAAGGGGTGTTAACAAATGTTCATAACTATGTAAACCTATTTAAATATAAAGGAGGCAGAATAAAAGGTATGTTGTATTTGCACGTGTTTTGCAGTTTTCAGTTTGCAGAGGGTGGGTGATTTATACAAGGTAACACAACTGGTGACACGCAAAGTCACGTGTTCAAACAATCCCAGCTTCTGTGAGAACAAACGCAGAGGTGCAATGCAGATATACACAGAACAGACCAGGGCAGCAAGACGGATGCGCCCAACACTGCTCCAGAATAAGCTGAAGAAAGATAAAGAGAGGATGACAGAGGGGTTCTGGATCTACGTCTGTATAAGTCAGATCAGTCTGTTGCAATTTCTTTTTTTTTTTTGCTAGAAGGTACATGCGTGTTTGAGACAGAAAGCAGGTCTCAGTAGGGCCTGTTCATGGTGCAGTCCTACTCCTCAAATCTTCTGTCCCATCTGGGGCACACACATGTGTGTCTAGAATGTTTTCAAGCTGCCAAGGCCAGGCCCCAAACCCTGGTTGGCTATGTGGGGTCCAGCATCCTATGCACAGCATTTAACTGTGCTATGCTACAAGGCTAGCCCTATCACAAATTTAAAATATTCCACCCCTTGTTTTTCAGAGGTTTTTGTCTTAGGATATGTGTGCTTGCTGGAGAGAGACAGAGATAGTGAGAGGGAAAATGAGAAATCACCCCCTGGGAATATGGCCATGCTGCAATCCCTTCTCCGTTTCCTTTCTGGGGTCTTTGGCATATGTGCCTGGCATGATTTTCATGCCTCCAGGTCTGGGACTCAAAACATAGTTGGCCATGTGGGGGTCCAGGATCTAACTGCTACACCATCTGCTGGCCCCCTTCCCTTTCTTTAATGAATGTTTCTTAAACGTGTTTCATGTGCACTCACCGGAGAGAGAAAGAAAGACAAAGAGACAAGGGCAGGAGGGAGGAAGCACCCCCCCAGTGGCAGGTGGTCACGCTGTAATCCCTCTTCATCCTACTGGGGTTTTGGACACTCCATGCTCAACAACCCTGCATGTTTTTCAAGCCACAGGGACTAGGATTTGAACCACAGTTAGCCATGTAGGATCTGGCTCCCTTTTACTCATAGGCTCTGGGGCTGGCCCCAAACACCCCTTCTTGAGCATGGAACATCTCACATAAACATCACATGATGGAAAATATTTCTCAGGAACACACCATTGTCTGATAAAACGATAATGGCTCCAGAGTCACTGTACACAGGTCAGAAATCTACTGCTGAACAGTGAAAGCAGGATACATGTGGTATGGTTTAGCCACATATCACAGTATGATTCCCTCACATCATCCAGCCTAAGAACTTGCTATTAAATTCGATTACCGAAAATACACAAATTTCCCCCAAGTGGAAGAGGCATGTATGCACACACGTATGGGATAGACAGAGTTGTTTCTGTCAGCCCTGCCATGCCACAGTTACCCTGCCCCAGGCTGAACCACAGGTGCGTGCCAACACCATGGGCCTGTTTAGGTTGGGCCAAGAACTCAACCCAGGTCTCCCATACAGCCTCAGCCATGTAATGGCTGAGACACAAGATTTCCTTCTTTCTTCTCTCTCTCTCTCTCTATCCATCCATCCATCCATCTATCATCTATCTATTTATAAAGAGTTTATTTTATTCATGAGAGAGAGTAGGTTTATGTGCATTGGAGAGGGAGAGAAGAAGGGAAGGAGAAGGAAAGGGAAGGGAGGGTATTCTTGACAGGATCTTGTCATGCTGATTCCCCTCCCAGCCCTCTACCTCCTCAGGATCTTGGATGTCCAGTGTCCTTTCGGGCCACCCGAGGATCCTACCCTGTGGTCAGCCATGTGGCTTCTAGTACTGCAGTGCAGTGTGTTACTGATTGTACCAACAGGCTGGGTCATACAGGTTTTGGTTTTGGTTTTCTGGGTTTTTTTGTTTGTTTGATTTTGGTTACAGGGTGTATGTGCTCACAGGAGAGAGACAGAGAGAGGGAAAGTGAGAAATCACCTCCGGGGAGGGGGGTGGCCACGCCACAATCCCTTCTCCTCCATTCTCCTCTTGGGATTCTAGATATGCACACACAGGCGGCAGGCATTTGTTTGTTTGTTTTCCCCAAGCTGCTGGGTCCAGGGCTTGAACCTCACAGTACACCATGTGGGATCCAGCTGCCTTACCCATCACGCCACTGGCTGGCCCAACAAGTTTTAAGAAAGTACTGAAGCCCGGCCACGGTGGCACAGAGTTAGTGTCACTGCTTGGGAGGATAGAAGCTGCGTGGGAGGCACAGGTTCAGTTCCCAGGCCAAATGGAACATATGGGCCCAGACGCATGCACCTGTAAGCCTAGCTAACCAGGAGTCTGGGGCAGGAGGGTTACAACACGCTGAGATTCTGTCAAAAAACACCTCTCATCTCTGACTCT